AATTTTTTTAATATATTATTTAAAATTTTAATATAAAAGATATTTATATATCTGAAAGATAAAAAATTATTATTGAAATAAAGAAAACCCTCCTAAAACAAACAGCAAAAAATTAAAAAATGTTTTTTTAAAGGAAGTAATTTAGTATAATAAAGATAAAAAAACAATTTTTTTATTGCAAATAAAAGCATACTTTGCTTTTATTTTATATTTTACTAATTCAAATATATTTGCTGCTTGATGGAAATAACTAATTCCTTTACAAGTATTTAAATAAATAATTCTTCTAAATAAAAAAATTTTTTTTTCGATTTAGTACATTCTTTTCAGTGTACATTAAATAGTTTAGCTCGATGTGAGCTCGGACCTAAATGAAGGATGCTGGCGGAGAGTAACGCTGCCCAGGGTAGTCTTGCCCAATGCATGGTTTCCACCCCGGAAAAGTACAGAGCCAGACAAATCGGCCATAACAAAGCGGCGTTGCATAAACCGATAAGGGAGAAAAATAGAGACATTTGACCGAACGTAGTTTCTCCTATTACTTTCTTAAAGAGAACCTACGAGAAGGGGAAATAATTTATATTATTTAAAGATTTTCACATCTTGCAATTGCGATTGCGCATCTAATATAGGTCGTTGCATATAGCTTACTTTATAAACGGCAGAGCCAGCTGCCGCTGCTGTAGCTAAAACGACACCTCCGAGCGTCGGACTTCCGGTTATGCCGTCCATGTAAGCTAAGAGCGCGATGCCGGTGTTGCACAAGATCACCGCGACTATCTGTAACAAGATTTCAAGAGTTCAATGATGAAAATAAAGCCTGTTGTTATAAAATTTCAAGAAAAGTGTATTTTATGACATCGAACGCAAGAACATCATTTTTTAATCAGAAGTTTACGACTTTTGGTCTTTAAAAAAGAAATTTATTCTGACAATTATGGTTAATAAGATATATTTATAATTCAATATGGGATCTATGACAAAAAAAATTGTAAATTAGATCGAGATATTGTAAGTGCCTTAAAAATCGTGGCGACCGTTACGAGGACCACCCTGTATATAATTATATTATACGAGTATTTATATTTGATTATATGTATATAGACTTTTTATTTAATTTTTTATATTTTATGTATACATATATAAATAGAATCTTAAATCAATTTTTATACCGACACTGTTAGAAAATTTGACTTAAATTTAACATATATCGAATGTCCCAAACGGTCCGTATAAATTTTTATGTTAATTTAACATAATATGCAGATGTTGGTGACACTAATACTATGTTAATATCTCAATAGAAAATGAAGGCAACCTCATAGTAATTTAAAATATATTTTATGTAAAATCAACATATTTTTAATGATAGAATTAACTTGGAAAAATGTTATTGACGGTCTGCAGTCACTCTCACTCCTATTGTAGAATAATATTAACATCCTGTAAATTTTAACAGATAAATCTTGTCACTAATAATACGGAACATATCTATTGTGTAAGATTAAAAATATGTATACATTGTGTTATTTTTACACTTTTTTCAGTTGTTCTAATAATTTAACATTTGAGTTCAATTAACGCAACAGCAATATGTTAAATTAACACATAAATGTGTTAAATATTTAACACAATAATTTTAATCGGTATATTTTTTAATAAGAAAACACAAGTTTTCCAACAGTGGAAATAAAATTAAAATCTTCTAATTTTCATCGAATAAATCAACAGCTATTAATAAATTGTCACTCTTTTTGAATCTATTATTCAGAGTACCTGTGGTTAAAAGAAGAAACATATCCGGTATCAACACAATCCAAAAGCGCCGCTGATGTCAACTTACCTGAGGCGTGAAGTGCAACCTGGATAGGAGTGATGAAAAGACCATGAGTCTGTTGATCATCGGCGAGAGTTATATTCGACGTACGTGATCTTCGGGGATGAAATATCGTCGGTACCTCACCAACCCCTCCGCTACCCATGGCTTATGCGCGTTCTTTGAAACATGTTATTAGAGAGAGAGAGAGAGAGAGAGAGAAATTGTGTTCACCGGCTATGTCACTTCGAAAGGAACATCACATCATGCGGGACACTTGGTGCAACTTGGCTTGCAAGTTCGATACGAATGCATGACTTGTTGATCCCCTATGTTTACGTGCTCGCGAACGACGCACGTAAATATTTTTTTCGACACATGCAACGCCCGCCTTTCACAGGTGATACTATCGGACAACTGTTTTTTTTCGCAAAAGAATTCTATTCTTTTCTATTGCAGCTATTATTGACAGGTGCATCTCATGATCAAGAATAATTGACAAGTAGCATTAAGGACCACTTCGATCAAACTCCGATTGATTGAATCGATTAACTTACAGGACGACCAAGATAATTTAATATAATTCTCGTATATAATATAATACAAATTTTAAAATTCTGTTTTTGGTCGCCTTCTAAATTAATCAATGATTAAATTAATCGGAGTTTGGTCGAAGTAGCCCTAAGATGGGAGAGATTAGCTATGATACACTGATGTCTGCTTCTACTATCCAAAAAGAGAATGACTTCGGTCCGGACGAAAATTCGTCCGTTTTGCGCAAGTCTCCATCTTAGAAAGCCCCCACCACATCGCCGTATCGCTCATGCAGCTTGTCAGTGCTAGCAACGAGTGACAGGTCCCCCCGATCATTTGACAGTTGTAATTATTTAATCTCAATATAACCCTATGAGTTAACTTTTAGTGTTTTTCTTCCACAAAAGTATTTACAAAGTGCGATGGAAGAATTGAATATTGAAGTGCTACTAATGTAATCTCCTGTGAAGAAAAATAAACAAGGCCAGGTAAACAATGATGAAAAAATTATAAATTAATTATTATTATTAATAATTATTAAGTCCTTTTATGAGTTCACTACGAGAAAAATATGTTGAAATTTAATAAATTGTTTGAATAAGGCTATATTGGTTATAAGGTTTATAAGGTTAATTTTTCATTTATATTTTCAGTTGATCCACAGCAATAAGAAGCTTATTATTATTAATTCACATAAAAAATTGAAAAAAGACAATCAAGAAATTTCAAATAAAGATGCTGTTACTCAATTGACAGAACTACTTGGTTTTGTGTAATTCAAATATATTACAACTCTTGCTCTTATAATTGCCTGTCATATTATTTTTTATTTTAATTTCGTATCGCGTGTAAGAATCAGATTTCTATTTTATATCATATTGAAATTAATCGAGATTATTTCATCCGTTTAATTTTTGAAACTGACATGAGATAATAGTCCCGGGCCCGAGGGAGCCGTATCTACGTATACGATATTGAGTATCTCGCCATGTTCTCCCCACTTTGCCCGCTTATGCGCGAACCGAGGTCATTCTCTTTTTGGATAGAATATATATTTGCTGAAGATAAATTAAATATTCCGCGAAATCAAAACAAACGAGTTTGAAACTGGTATATACCTAATTTTGATAGGAAAAAATAAATACATACCTACTAATTTCTTTTGTCTTCCGATTTAATAAGCACAAAAATTACTTGCAAGATCGAGATTAATTTCAATGTGTTAGAAAATTTGATGATGCGCGTTTTTCAAAATAGTTTATATTTGTATACATGAGAATTTTTTTTAGCAATTAACCAGTTTCGAACCCTGAAATCGCGCGAACAAATTGCGTTAGCTAGTAACATTAAGGCCGGTATTCATAGTCCGTTCTTATATTCAAGATCGTCTTAAGTATGGTCTTGGGTCGTCTGAAGATCCTATTCAACCAACGAAATGGCCGCACAACATCTTAAAACCGTACTTGAAATGATCTTAAATATAAAAATGAACTATGAATAGCAGCCTAAGTGTTTTAAATTAACAGAAATTTACAGAAAATAAGCATGCATATTTTACAGTGCACTCTATTGTTACAATCGAAAGCATAAGATTAGCCAAATTAAAAGAGCTGATTTCAAATAAGGACATGCAATTCGGTGCACAAATGTATCTAGACTCAGAAATTTTATCTCAATAATTCGAGATCTAACTTCCGTTCTGTATCTATTCCGAATCTGTATATTCATTCAAAATTTCGATAATTTTTCGCCGCTAAAATAATTAGGTAACAATCTTTTATTTATTTATTTATTTATTAGAAACGGGAGAAATTCCTTTGATATAATAAATGGATTAGTGCTGTAACAAGAGAAACAAAGAATACAAAAAAAAAGATATACGAAGTTATTACATATATTTGTCTCTTATATATATATATATATATATATATATATATATATATATATATATATATATATATATATATATATATATATATATATATATATATATATATATATATATATATATATATATATATATATATATATATATATATATATATATATATATATATATATATATATATATATATATATATATATATATATATATATATATATATATATATATATATATATATATATATATATATATATATATATATATA